AAAGCACCCTGCGCATCAAACTGGGCCACCTTAAGCGCCATCTTCTCCTGCTTCCTCCTCTCCTTGTCCTCCTGCGCGGCATCGGGCTTATTTGCCCTAAGCTGCTCGAGCGTCTTGCGCAACTCCTCAAGCTCGCTGCGCTGGTCCGCGCCCTGCTCCTCGAGAATGTCGATGGTGATCTGACTCTCCTTCGCGTCGTAGCCGAGTTTCTCGGCCTGGAGGCGCAACTCGGTGAGTTGTGTGGAGAGCGCCTTGTTTTCCTTGGACAGCGTCGACTCTTGCTCCTTGAGGAACGTCAACTCGTCGTGCAGTTCGCCGGCAAGCTTCTCGGCGGCTTTGAGCAGAGTCTCGCGCTTGCCAAGTTCATCGGACAGCTCGTTCTCGCGCTTGAGGAACTCTTCGCGCTCGTCCTTATCAAGGCCAACGACAGTCGGTGTAGCGGGTCGAAGACCCTTAATAGCCGGGTTCACGGGCGTTCCGCTGCGAGTCGTAGCAGCCGAACTGGTCGCAGTACTCGTGAAAGTGCTTGACGCTGGCGGCGCAGGCTTCTTCGGCTCAATCGCTCCACCCGCCTTCAACTTGGCCTCCGCATTCTCGCCTGGCTCGCCCTTACCGCCCGCGCGCCAAACTGCGAGTTCCGCCTCGAGCGCGTCAATCATATACCCGGCGGCCGAGATCTGCGCTTTCTGAAGCAGGTTCTTGAGTTCGGCGGGGAGGGGGGGAGAGCTCTGCGTCGACGCGCGCGATGTTCTTGATGGATTTGGCTCAGATACCGAAGCGGAGGGTGGAGAGCGTTTCGGCTTCGTTGTAGGAGGCGGGGGAGCAGTTGATGATGAGCGTTGTACGGGAGTTGCCACCAAGGGACTCTTGAGCATACGGATGAGCTTCGAGTCACGGTACGGAATGTGTTCGGCCTATACAGCGTAAATCAGTATGAATTGGATAGTAGGTGTGACTAGGTCATACCTTTCCGCCCGTAAGCGCGTTGATGACCATACCGAGGTCAGACAGCGCCTTGTTGATCTTCTTGGCCTCCTCTCTGACCTGACGCGCCGGTGTGGCCGACCTTCTCGGAACCGGCCAAATCGACGAGGTGGATGTTACCCGTCTTCTGTGCGCCCGTCTCGGTGTTGCGCTGACAGATGGCGATGAGGAAGATGGAGTGCGATCGTGAGGACTCGGCGTTCATGTCTGTAGTGCAGGAACACGAGTTCAGTATTCCTTGTAGGGAGGATGTGGAATGTATATCCGTACTGGTCGAGAGCACCACCTTGACGCATGATCCCGTAGACCTCTTGTGCGCTGCTCGCGTAGTAGTCGGACAAGTTCTTGACGTAGACACCTTTGTTCTTCTCCAGTTGTCGTTCTGCGCTGAGAACGACAGATATGCCCATCAGCGTTGCGTTACATGGTGAGTACGGGCGAGATGAGAACGTACGCTGGAGTAGATCGCGAATACGCTCGAGGTAGATCTCCATATATG